TCCGCCACCAAATCCACCTCCTACTCCACCTGCTTGAGGAGGTGGCTGTCCATTCCCTCCTGCTATACCCTGGGAAGATTGTCGTCGGATTCGGATGACAGGAAACAAAGCATTAATACCGTCATTGATCTGATTGAAACTGCCACCTACAAACGAATCACTCATCTTTTCGACATGACCATCCCCTGTAATAAACTCGCTCCTTAGTATTGCTCTACGAATTCGGACTTTCAAAGGTTCTCGAATCTGAAAATCATTATCAGTAAATTCATTGGCATGAAAGCCATTCAATGGAAAGTCGTCGGAAATTGATCTTCTTCGCCTCCTTTTCGAGTCATCATCATTACTGTCGTCGTTAGTTTCAGGAGTAGCGCCCGTTGTGTTAGCTGCTGTATTATTATTTACAGGAGTAGGTTGCGTTGCGTTCAAGTTCAAGTTGTCAGCTCCTGTTGTATTCAACCTCAAACCGGAAAAACTTATATTCCATGATTCCATAAAGATTCTTCTTACTCGAATATGACTACCCGTATCGATCGAACCAAACTCCTGGGTTCTTTTTAATTTCATCTCAGTTGACGTGGATCGACGTTTTCGTTTACTGTAACTACCACCTTCTCCACCATAACCCCCTCCTCCACCAGCTTTACCGCCATTAGTGCTACCACCACCGTGTCTACCTGAGCCAGAACTCCAGCCTCCACCCCATCCTCCACCTCCCCATCCTCCGCCTCCACCACCTCCCCATGGTACATTACTACCTCCCCCTCCTCCCCCGCACATGCATGGCTTACAATTACGGAGGGTGCTTCCTGTGCTACCTGTCCGGTTTTTGCTACTAGCTTGGTAATTAGAGGTTGAGCTTTTACTATTTTTAACTGGGCTTTGTGCATTATGCGCGTTTCCAGCCATGTTACCTACTGTGTCCAGTGATGAAGATCTTCTATGTCTTATAGCAGTCTCAGCCTCCATTAAACCCAAGGGGCTGGTTTTACCTAAGCTTAAAGTTCGGCGTCTACGTTTACCACCACCACCGCCGCCGCCGCCACCACCACCACCACCACCCCCACC